TATAGGCTGATTTAGCTAAGGCAATGATGTCACTTTTGCTTCTCTTACATTCAGACTGCTTCTTTCCACTATGCTATATATGAAAAGGTTGGGAGCTCAGAGAGAAAAGTAGCAACTATACTAAGTTAAATGAAATCCACATTAGGCTGGGAATATAGCACGGTGGTAGAATACTTGCCTGGTATTCAATGCACAAGCACAATACACAAAGCAGAAACCTCAGAGGAGTGCACTATGTAGCCCTGGCTGACCTGGAATTTGCTATGTAGACCAGACTGACCTGGAACTTGGAAAGATTCATCTGCTTCTGCCTCCTGAATAGTGTTAAAGGGGTGGGCCACTATACTGGACTTAAATAAAATTTTAACCTTTAAATTTTAGGTACATAATTTTTTAGTAAAAGTCATATTTGGATACAAAGGAAGTGTTAGTTACCTTTTATCTAGCACCTGTCAGGACTATACACATCTGTAGCTACTTTATGTACATTTTCTCTTGTCCGTACCAAAGTTCTGCAAAGCTAAGTATTATCATTTTACACTTGAGGAAATACAGCCTGAAAAAGATAAAGAAATGTACCCAAAATGTGCACACGTTTGTGAAAGATTGAGTTAGAACTTCCTTGATTGGCTGTACTGGAATTAAACTTGTGGCCTCTGGCATATTAGGCAAGTAAATGTTTTACCATTGAACTATGTGCACAGACCATGTTTGTTAGTTTGCTTTCTTGTTTATTTACTGTTTTTGAGACAGGGTCTTGTTATGTAACCTTGGTTTGCAGGATTTTCTGCTTCAAACTCCTGTGTGCTGGGATTACAGGCACGTGCCACATCTCCCAGTGTTAGATGGAAACCAGTTTTAGCTTTACCTTTTAGGATTTTGTTGGTGTAAGGACGATAGATGTAGGCAAAATTGGTAAGCTATAAAAAAAAAAACCCAAAACTATAAGATAGGCCATCTACTGCCTTTCAAAGAAGGAACAGTAAGAATGAGATCCATGTATTTAAAATTATGAAATCTATCTTTTCATTTATTTGTATATCCCTTCTTTTCTAGAACAGACTAAGAAATTCTCTTCTGTTAGCATGGGTGTATAAGGACTTCTGGATTCATACTGTTGCTGTTGATGACACATGGCAGTTCTGAATGCTTCAGCCATGTGCATAATTGTAAATTCATTCATGGCAGCTGCACCATGTAGCCAGATGGAATTTAAAATTGGCATGTTCATATTAAAAAACAAAGCGAAACCCTAATTTAAAAATATCAATTTGCAGCCTTATGTTGCCATCGTAGAATTTTCCCCAATAAAGAATAGGAAATGTTTCATTAAATGTCTGTTAAATTGTTTACACTTGTTGTATACTGCACAGATGTGCTTATCTGGATGAATTGCTTTTCTAAAATTGTGTGCCATGGAAGAAGAAAAGTGAGCTGTTAGGAGTTTGAAATGGCTATTGAACAAAGGGATGCAGTTAAATTTTTGGTTTATAGAATTGACTTTAACAGTAGTGTTTTTCTAATTAAATGGTGGTATATATAGCTTTGAGAGACATAGACTAATAGTCATTTAAAATAGGTTGTGCTTAAAACTGCATCAGATAGGCCCTGTCCCATTACTTTTTTTTTTTAGCAACTTCCTGACTGATCTACCTACCTATTGTCTCACTTCTCCTAAGTATATCTTCTTTATTGCTTTCTCTGAGCTTTGTTAAATACACATTTCAGCCCTCTTCCCTGCTTCAAATTTTTCTGAGAATTCTTTTGTGATTTGGAGGATAAAATTTACCTCTCTTGGTTTGCCTTGCAAATTTCTTGCATGAATCAGGCTGTCTGCCTCACTGGTCCCAAGCCTGCCTGCCTGTCTGCCTGCCTGCCTGCCTCCCTTTCTTTCTTTTCTAAGCCTTCCTTATATGGTGTTCCAGCCATTTTAAACTAATTGCCACTTATTCTCCAGATCATGTCCTTAACTTCAGTCATGACATTGTATCTATTTGTGACAACTTCTTATTTTTCTCATTTCTTAACCTTCTTATTTGTTTTTTGAGACAGGATCTCATTTAGCTGAGGCTGTCTTTGAACTCCTGATCCAACTGCAAGTATGAGCTACCATAAATATGAGTTTTGATTTTGTTCAAATTTTGAAAAATTTCTTTCATAATTAGTTATAATTTAATTATGTGCAAAACTTAAAACAAGAAATAAGCTACCTTCTAAATCAAATCAAACTTCAGTTTGGGAGAAGAACTGAGTACATGTTTTCTGGTTACTTCTAATTGTGGCTCCTAACATTTCCCTCCAAAGCTGGAATGGTAGTTCATTATTACCCTGATTCTATCCTGTGAAAGATACTAGTTTATGGAAATAAATCCTGGATTGTATGTGACCAAACTTTGTGTTGTTCCTAAAAAGCATTTACTGGAGACCTACTATGGGATGATGCTGGCATCCAGAAATGAGTTAAGTGTAGCTCCTGCCAGACTACCTCCTCTATTGTACAGTAATGAGTGCATACAGACTAAGCATAGCACTGTAAAATTTCTGTAGTAATCAAAACATTCTGTATTTGTGTTGTCTGATTGACAATCTCCTGTCGTGTGTGATATGGGATTCCCCTCTGTTGCTGTGAAGACCTTTGGTTAATAAAGAAAATGCTTTGAGCCTATAGTAGAACAAGGCAAAACAGAACTAGGTGGCAGGGGGAAGGCACTAAACTGAATGTTGGGAGAAAGAAGGCGGAGTCAGAGAGATGCCATGAGAGATGCCACCAGAGACAGATGCCAGAACTTTACCTGGTAAGCCACAGCCATGTGGTGTTACACATATTACTAGAAATGGGTTAAATTAAGATATAAGAGTTAGCCAATTAGATGCTAGAGCTAATGGGCCAAGCAGTGATTTAATTAATACACTTTCTGTGTGGTTATTTCGGTTCTGGGCAGCTGGGAACGAACAAGCAGGCTCCTATAACACGTGTGTAGCTCTTTAGTGCATAAAATATGAAAATTAGAGTCAGGAACTGAAAGTTAATCTTATTTTGTTTCAATTAATTTAAATAGGCACACATAGCTCATGGCTGCTGTATTGGAAAGCAGGTTCAAATCAGGAGAGAGTAAGATATATAAGTGAGAACGTGCAGTTAAGTGTAATAGAAGAACTTGGGGTTTAGCTATGCTGGTAAGACACTTAAAGCATGTGGGTTTGATCCCTGACACTGACAATAAAAATGTGACAGGGATTATGATAAGGAAAAAAATACTTTGGGTTTTCCCTAGGATTAGTCAGCTATATCGGGTAAAAGTAAGAAACAATTATAGTCACTTCTCAGAGTTGAGAGGTTCAATAAAAATGTTAGTTTGGGGGCTAAAGAGATGGCTAAGTAGTTTAGAGCACTTGCTGCTCTTCCAAAGGTCCTGGGTTCAATTCCGAGCACTCACATGGCAGCTCACAGCTCTCCAATTCTAGGGGATTCTACACCCTCATAGACAGACATGCAGACAAAACACCAATGCACATAAAAAAAGTTGTTGGTTTTATGAGTCTTAAAAGACATGTGAGTATAATTGGCTGTCATATGTGCATTGTGCCACATGCCTTTAATCCCAGCATTTGGGAAGACTCAGCAAGCAGATAAGCAGATCTCGGTGAGTTCAACACCAGCCTGGTCTATAGAGAGAATTCCAGGTCAGCCAAGGCTACACAGAGAAACCCTGTTCCGTGGGGGGGGGGGGGGAAGACCAAAAAAAAGTATTTCTTAGGTGGGCATGATGATTATACCTGTAATTCTAGCGCTTATGAGGAGAAGGCAGGAGGATTAGTTGTTCGAGGATATTATCCTCAGTTACATAATGATTTTGAGGCCACTGGGAGCACAAGATCATATCTCAAAATAAACACCCCCCCAAAAAGAACAAAAGCCGGGGGTTAGAGATAGCTCAGTAGTTAAGAGCACATATTACAGAGGACCTGAGTTGGACTCTCAGCACCCACGTCGAACAGCTCATGACTGCCTATAATACTAGCTCCAGGGGGAATTCAATGCTAATGGCTTTGGCAGATACCCATACATGTGCTTATATTTACACAGAGGCACACGTAATAAAATCTTTTTGGGGTTTTGAGACAGAGTTTCTCAGAGCCTGTCTCTGGAGCCTGTCCTGGAACTGGCTTTGCAGACCAGGCTGGCCTCAAACTCACAGAGATCCACCTGCCTCTGCCTCCTGAGTGCTGGGATTAAAGGCATATGCCATCACCGCCTGGCGATAAAAGTAAATCTTAACACAAAAATGACGAGATATATTTCTACTTACTGCATTTATAGGTTACCCCCCTTTTTTTGAGAATCAAGATATAATAAAAACCTGCTTCTCAAACTACATTGTTTATCATAATATAACCTTATCTTTGGTTCAGAAGGAAACAGGAATTTGTTTAAGTTTTCCTGGTTACTATTATTAGAATATTAAAACTGATGGAAAACCTAGTGTCTAAGAAATACCTTTTTGTGCTGGGCATGGTGCTATACAACCTTAATCCCAGCACTTGGAAGGCAGAGGCAGGTGGCGGCCAGCCTGGTCTATATAATGAGTTCCAGGACAACCAGAGAGCTATATAGTGAGATCCTGTCTCAAAAAAAAACAAAACAAAAGAAAATTCTGTTTTTACTACTAATAATGGATATTTATTATTTTTAAAATTTCATGCATTTTGTATGTGTGTGTTTCAATATGCACATGGAAATCAGAGAGGACAATTTTTAGGGGTTGAGTTTCTCCTTGCACCAACACATGTACCCACCCCCAATAAATAAGTGTAATCCAAATATTTGAAAACCTGGTCTGAACAACAACAACAAAAAACAACAAAAAGTGCTTGCTAGTGTCAGATTCTATGCCCTAAACATTTTAAAGTTATAGTTGCAGCTTAAGAGGTCATAATTAGGTGAATGCCTTTCAGAGGGAAAGTTTTTAAACTCTTTTTTACTTTTTATTTTCTGATAGATCAGGGCCATTTAACCCATGCAATAGGAATGAAGACCCTGGTAAGTAATGCTGACCATTCATTTTAAATTCTTCCTAGTCTATCTCTGAGACCTGGACTCCTTCTGTAATCAGTGCTTGTTTTTCATACTTTTTATCACCGGTGAGAGAACTCTTGCTCGCCCTAGGTCGTTGACCTTTCCTTCTCTTGTCACTCTGTGTTAGTTATGGCTTTCAACAAATGTTCACCCAGATGTGAATGTGCTTGAGAGAGAATAGAGGAGCAGTCCTAGATGAGTCCTGATGATAAAGAAGGTAGTTTATGTAGCACACAATTGTAGGTGGGACCTAGGATGAAGAAAGGGGAGTTCTTTACTCAGAGCAAACATGAAAACTCCTTAGAAATTCAAAATAGCTACCAGCAAAGAGACTGTAGCAGTTACATCTGGCAATATTGAAATTCAGCTGGTAGAGGCTGGAGTTTTGCCTAGGCTGGCATGGGGTAGCCTCTTCCTGTGTGATGATCACGAACTGTCTTTTACTTATTTTAATTCTTTATTTTAAAGTGAATTTGACTTGAGCCTGAGTTCCAAAAGTAGATAATATAGGAACGGCTTAATTTACACATGTCCATTTCTTTTAGAATAGATTTTATGAGCTGGGAGTGGTGTCACCTGCCTTTAATCCCAGCACTGTGGGCAGAAGCAGGCTGATCTCTGTGAGGTCAAGACCAACCAGGTCTACAAAGTATATTTCAGGGCAGCCAGGACTGTTACACAAAATAGTCTTGATGTTTCAACAATCTTTGTAATCTGCTACTTTTAGTATACAAGGTGTCCTTCTCAAATATGACTATCTCTAGTTTGAAGCTTAGGTTATCAAGATTGGTTCAGGTAATTATTTTGTCTGATTTCAGTTTATTTTCTGATGTAGTAAAGCACTTGAACTTTGTAGTGCCAGTACCTGAGATTGAATTCAATTTCTGTTACTTGCTATGTGATCTTGAGCTAGACACTGGACCTTTCTAGGTTTAGACTTCTCATTTGTAAGGATTATAGGATCATGATCATAGTTGGGTAGGATAAGATGCATGCTCATAGAAAATATTTAGTAAATGTTAACTGATATCATTGTCCCTCCTGTCATTACTGTACATGGCCAGTTCATTTATTTATAAATTCTCATATAAATGACAAAATTTACTATCTTAATTATTTTTTATTTTATCTGTATGTGAGTGTTTTCCCTGCATGTATGTCTGTGCGCCATGTTCATACAGTGTCTGTGGAGGCTAGAAGACAGCTTCAGATCCACTGGAACTGGAATTGAAAATGATTGTTAACCACCAAATGAGTGCTGGAAACTGAACCCTGGTCTTCTTCAAGAGTATTAAGTGTTCTTAACTGCTGAACCGTCTCTTCCCCTTAAATATTATTTTTAAATTAATGACAATCAAATTGACTTTAGTAAAATTAATTTTAACATGCCAATAATTGCCAATTCTAGTATAGTGTCAGGGATGAACCTGACTGGAGTAGCAAGGGAATGAAGAGTAGACAAATATACCATCAGAAAGCTGGCATCAGGTAGTCTGGGCTCTGCAGGAGAAATAGCAGTCTTCCCAGAAAGCCCAGCCACTAATTATGTAGAGTTGAACAAGGAGGCAGGGTTATTGCACACAGCTGAACAAGGGAGTAGGTTATTATATACAGATTAAACAGGTGGTGGGTTTATGATGTACAGCTGAATAAATGAGGCAGATTTAGCTAATCTCATTGGAGCAGTCTCTGTTGGGAGAGCAGTCTTCAGGCCATAAATACTTTAGGAAAGAACTATGGTGGATATTTTCTGCATATACTATCAACATTCACACTCAAACCAAAGGAAGGCTTTGCCATTTTTCTGAACCTACACCAGCAAAGGCATTGCCATTTTCCCATGTGTCTGAGGCTTTAGGTCCTTGACATGGCTTGGATAGATAGCTCAGAAATTAAGAGCACACTGACTGCCCTTCCAGAAGACCTAAATTCAGCTCCCAGAATCCACAGGGTGGCTAACAATCATCTGTAACTCCAGTCCCAGAGGACCACACTTCCCTTGTTCTTCTGTTGGCCACTGAGCACACATATAGTGTACAGACATTCAGGCAGACAAAACACTCACACATATAAAGGGAAGTTTAAAAAAATAAATTGAGTTGTAGTGAGTAGACAGGGGAAGTCAATGTGTGGGGAAAGGAAGTGATTTGAAAGGGAGAAAGCCACCAGCTAACTGGCCTTCATGGGCCTCAGTTTTTTTCTATGCAAATTTGCTTTACTAACATACCATGTAGCCAAGGATTACTTTGAATTTCTGATTCTCCCAGCTCAGTTTCCTAAATGTTGGGAATACATGTGTTGCTAACGATAGAACCCAGGGCTTCTTGCATGCTAACCAAGCACTATACCAACTGAAGTACATCACCCCTTGTGTAGAGATCTTAATGAAATAAAGTCATACTAATCAGATAAAGAACTGTAAGTGTTGAGTGTGTGAGGTGAGTCTGCCTGTCGTATCAAGGAGCAGGAAGGGAAGAATGTCTCTGCAGTTCATACAAAGAAATGAAAGACTTGCACTTCTTGTTTGTTTTTGAGACGGGTTTTGCAGTGTAGCCACAGCTATTCTAGTTCTTACTATGTAGCCCAGTTTGGACTTAAATTTAAAGTAGTCCTCTTGCCTCAGTTTACTGAGTGCTGTGATTATAAATGTGACTTTGCACATTTTTATTGATATATGCTTTGGCCATTTTAGAATGGTTCCAAGTAACATGTTAATGCTAAAATTTAATATTTACTGCAGTTTGGCATAAGACAAAAGATGATAAATACAACAAACAAGAAGAGTAAGATGAGCTAAATGGGAGGGAGTTAGGTATAGGATTTTATAGATGATGGCTATGATCTTATATTTTGTTCTGTGTGGAAGGCATTATAAAGTTTTGGAAAGAATTAAGTGAAATTCTCTGAATTGAACTTAAAGGGGTCATTTGTTTCCTATAAAAAGGGATGGAGGCAGGCAGTGGTGATGTACTCCTTTAACCCTAGCATTTGGGAGGCAGAAGCAGGTAGATTTCTGTGAGTTCGAGGCCTGCCTGGTTCACAGAGCAATTCCAGGACAGACTCCAAAGCTACGCAGGGAAACAAAACAAAACAAAAAGAAAAAGAGGGATGGAGTGAACATTGGTCTGACTCAGTGACAGATTACACCCCTTCATGTGTGAGACCCTTGATTGATTTTCAGCACTGGAAACGGGGTAGGAAAAAAAAACATAAGATGTTGTAGAAGGGAATTCAAAGCAGAGAAAGTACAAAGAACAATGGTTTCAAGGTAGGAACTAACCAGGTTTTGAGGAACAGCAGAAAGACCTTTGATAGGACAAGAGGTAGACAAATACATAGAGCTTTGGAGTCATCTAATCTTAGGTTTAGTTCTGACTTCCATCAGTTGATCTGATGTGTGATCTGGACAGAATACCTATGTTTTTTAGTTTAACTTATCTGTAAATGAAGGCAATAAAAATGACAGTTTTTAGAATAAAATAAGAGAACATGTGTAAAACACAATGGGATCTAGTATACAACTTTATTAATTAAACCCATTTTTATGTCATACCTACCATTATTTTTTTTTATTTGTTTTTGGAGACAGGGTTTCTCTGTGTAGCCCTGGCTGTCCTGGAACTAACTCTGTAGACCACACTGGCCTCAAACTCAGAGATCTGCCTGCCTCTGCTTCCTGTGTGCTGGGATTAAAGGCAAGCGCCATCACCCGGCCATACCTATCATTATTGACAGCATTCATTCTGTCATCAATTGTGATCTGTTTGACTTTCCTTATTTTAAATTTCATTTTAGTCAGCAAATTTTAAAAAAAAATTATTTTACTACTTTTGATTATGTATCCTGTGTGTCTGTGTGTGGGTGTGTGAGTGTGAGTGCCAGTGCTCAGGGAGGCCAGCAGTGTCAGATCTCTCTGGAGCCGGGATTTCAGGCAGTTGTGAGTGGAACTGAACTTGGGTCCTCATCAATAAGAGCAGTAAGTGTTTTTTAACCACCAAGTCATTGCTCTAGCCCTTAATGAGTCAATCTTATGTCCTTGTTTTGTGTCAGGGCTGAACTAGCCATTCTCCCTGAGCTCACTTTTAAAGCGTTTTAATCAAGAAAGGACATGAGGTACTAAAAAGGAAACAATTTAGAAGTTGATGAATAGATATGAAAAAATAATACTTGGGATCCAGGTAATTGCAGCCCCTGATACATTCTTTTATTATGGAAAGCAACTGAATGAACATTTCTGTCATCTTTGCTCATCACTGGATACTAGCTCTACTCAGACACTTCTCAGCTAGACTTCCTGCTGGTCCAGAGCTGCTTGCCGTAGGAAAATCAGGTAGGAACCAAGTCCCCTATCCTTGTAAGACCATTTGTTTTCATAGCTGCAGATGCTTCCCTTAGCAATTGAAACACAGCACAACTGGAATTAGTTATTCATCCCCAGGTAACATTTGTGCACCACTTTGATCAAGGAAGAAAAATGAAGCCAATTACTGGTATTGCTTATAACGCCAGTTTTTAGGAATGGAAGCCAGAGAATCATGAATTCAAGGCTGGCCTGGGCTACACAGTAATTTTCAGGCCTATGGAACTACACAGCGAGACATTATGGCAGAAACAAGAGCAGAACACAAAAACCTAAGGACAGAGCAGACCCAAGATGTAGTAACCTTAGTCTGTATTACCAGGCTCCTCGTTGATAGCTCTCCTTTTCTGGGTCAGGAGACTTCTGTCTTCAACTGCCTCAGCTCTATTTTGAAGCTACATTGGATCTTCTAGTCACTGAGTAGCTTTTTTTCTGGTTCCATTGAATACTTTACCATTCTCTTGCCTGATTTCATGAATGAACTAGTGGTACTATGGTTGTTTTTCACAGACTCATGGCTGAGATGGCCTTTACAGGTACCTGACTCATTTTATATAGGAAGAAAATTGAGACCTAGTAAAGAGAAAGTACTTATCTAGATCTAACAGACTCTGTTGTAAAGATGAGACCAGGACACTGCTTTGACTCATCAGACTGCTGAGTCACTTTTTCCTAATCTTATTAGATCATAAGTTCTTAGAGGACAGAGGGACATGTCATATGTACCTTTTGTCCCTTAGAGAACCTAAGTTATTAGGTAGCCTAGTAACTCTTAAATTGTTAAGTCTGTTCTTACCTGGGGAGTGGGCTGCTTAGTTAAAATGGCTTATATAAACTAGGGTGGGGGTGTTGGCAAGAAATGATAGAGTTCAAGTTATTTCCATTTATAACACTGCCCATGTATTCATTCTACAAAGTTGAGTTGTGGGAACCCTTGAAAGCAGAGGGTAATAAACTCTGTCTTCCTCTGTATGACCTGGGGAATTGTTCTAAATATTTTGTTTTGATGAATATAGTATTCAGCTTTGGTATTGTACAGTTCCATCATGTTTGATGATGATTTTCCAGTTTCTTTTATTTTTTTTTTTGTTTGTTTCTCGAGACAGGGTTTCTCTGTAACTTTGGAGCCTCTCCTGGAACTAGAGCTTATAGACCAGGTTGGCCTTGAACTCACAAAGATCCTCCTGCCTCTGCCTCCCCGAGTGGGATTTAAAAAAAAAAAAAGACAAAACATTTTTTTCTGGGTGTGATAGCACACACCTTTAGTCTCACCACTGTGAAGGCAAAGGCTAATTAAATCTCTGAGTTCAAGGCTAACCTGGTCTGCATAGTGACTTCTAAGGTAGTCAAAGCTGCATAGTGAGTTTTTATTTTTTTATTTTTAATTATCTGTGTCTGTTTAGTAAGTACATGTGAGCATCTGATTCTCCAGAGCTATAGTTACAGTTAGTAGTTAGTCACCCATTGTGAGCCCTAGGAGTCAAACATGGTTTTTCTGCAAGAGTAATATACATTCTTAACCTCTGAAACATTGCTTAAGCACATTTTTTCCAGTTTCTTGAGGTAAATATTAGGAAAGCATTTGACCAGGCAGTGGTGGTAGATAGGAGGGATACTTACCTAGGAAGTGTCTTCTACTTATAGTTAGTGGCTCTTAGTTACTTTTCTTGTGATGGACTATTTGGCAAGCAACCTTAGGGAAGAATATTTACTTAATTATTGTATTTATCTTATCAGTCCGTTATCAGTGACAAGAAAAGCAGGGTGGCAGTAGTGGCCCTGAGGCAACAGGATTGTGAGGCAGTGCTGTTCCCCTGGCACTGACCGGAAGCAGAGGACGCAGTCTGGAACCGGAAGTGGAGATCATCTTTGAAGACCTGTTTCTTGTGACGTACTTCTAGGCTGGTCCTCCTCCTGAAAGCTCTGCAGGCTTCAGAATAATTCCACAAGCTGAGACTGGGTGTTGAAAACATGAGCCTGTAAAGGATGATGGCATAAATATGGTGTTCTTAGGCATTTCCAGGTATTTGTCCACAAATGATAAGACTTTTCACAGATTTCCTTCCTGCGCACTTAAATACTCAAGTCAGCCTGCTCTTGAGGTCTGATCTCAGCTCTGCCCTTTGATTTGTTATAAGCACAGGTAAGCTTCTTTCCCACTCAGGTCTCTAGTTCTTACAATAATAATAATGTTGGAATGGGTTGTTCAGTGTTCTTCTATTTCTATATAAGGGATTTAGGTAAACCTTTTTTTTTTGACACTTGCATACACATTGATTATAATGCACTGAGACAGTTATATCACTGGCTACACATATGGTTTATGAGCATATGAAGCAGTTCTCAGTAATAATATGGCTTTTTGTGTTGTGGGATATTTTGTTTTGAGAGAGGATTTCTTTATGTAGCTTTGGTTGTCCTGGAACTTACTGTGTAGACCAGACTGTTCTTGCATTCCCAAAAATCTGCCTGCATCTGCCTACCTAGTGCTAAGATTAAAGACATGTACCTCCAAAGCCATCCCAGTTTTTTCCTTAAACACGGAATTTCAGGGTTTCGTGGAACTTACTATATAACCAAAGCTATCTTTAAACTCACTGCAGTCCTGCCCCAGCCTCTCAAGATTGCAAACATATGCCACTGCACACAATTTTCAGTTTTTAGTGTGATTTGGGGGGGGGGGGGAGCAAGAAAGAACAATCAAAGAATCTTGGGATCCAGTTTTATTGTCAGTTGGTAATGTTTGTGTATATGGTGAGAAATCAATCAATGAAATTTTTTGCGAGTTTGGCACTTGATGTATTTGCTTTTCCAGTGTCTAGTTGCTATTAGTACTTAGTCTCTACTGAGTAAGTGACTAGGTGCAGGGGTAAAGTTTGATTATTGTAGCAGCGTGCTATGGAGGGAGACCTTAGAGAACAGCTGTCCTAGCTGCTTCTAACTCAGGAACTGGGGCCTGGAAAACTGTAATGACTTTTCCAGCAAGGCAGCACCAAGAAGTTTGTGGTAGAGTGCCAGTGTAAAGCAGATACACATAAAACAGATACAGAGATTTGTTGTTGTTTGGTTTGGTTTTCTTTGAGACAGTGTCTCACTATATAGCTCTGGCTGACCCAGAACTTGCTCAGTAGACCAGTTTGGCCTCAAACTCACAGAGATTTGCCTGCCTCCGACTCCTGAGTGCTGGGATTAACGACGTGCACCACTACATCTGGTACACAGGGGAAATGTTTTAAAAAGTATTTCTAATCACTGACTTATTTAAAAGTAAGTGAGGGTATGAAGTGTCCTATTTAGTTTTATGTCAACATAGCTGGAGTCATCCAAGAGGATCCTCAATTAGGAAAATGCCTCTATAAGATTGGGCAGTTTGCAGGCCTATGGGACATTTTCTTAATTAGTAATTGATGTGGGAAGGCCTTGCCTATTGCAGGTGAGGACACCTCTAGGCAGGTGGCTCTGGCTTCTATAAGATAGCAGGCAGAGCAAGCCTTGAAGAGCAAAGCAGTAAGCAGCTCCTCTCCATGGTCTCTGCATCAGCTCCTGCCTCCATGTAAGCAGAGACTGCTCTTTTGTTTCCCAGCCGTCCAGACCTGAATAATCACACAGAAACTTTATTAATTACAACACTACTTGGCCTGTTAGCTCAGGCTTCTTATTAACTAACTCTTACATCTTAAATTAACCTTTTTCTATTAATCTGTGTATCACCATGAGGCTGTGGCCTACTAGTACTGGGATTAAAGAATGTGCCATTACCACCGGGCCCAGATTGTCTTAATTATTGAGGGTCATTTTGCTTCCGAATGAACATGTAATTTATTTTCATAATAGTAGGATGTTCCAGCTAAATGATTTGTTTACAAGTACTACTGCATTTGCCACACCAGTCTGGAATTCTCAAGAACAGTAGGAGGAGAAAAAAAAATCTTTCAGTCAGTTTTGATTTTATCTTAAAAGTTAATAAATAATGGTCAGCTTTAGAATTTATGATCATCTTTACCAGGAAATAGAAGTCTAACAGATAGGTATTAAAAACCAGTGTTTTAGCTGGGTGTGGTGGCACATTTCTTAATTCTAGGAAATTAAGGCAGGAAGATAGTAAATTTAAGGACACCAAGATCCTCCCAGCCCTCTAGCTTAACTTTTTTTGTATTACAACATGGGTAAATCATTGGAGATGGGTGCTAAATATAGTAAGCTGGTCACATCAGGGGCCAGTTACATTCTAACTACCACTGTGGTTAGCTAAGCTACCTGAAATTGGTGAGCTCCAGGTTCATGGAGAGACCAAGTTTTAATAAGTAAAGTGGAGCATGAGCTAAGAAGACTAAGATTGTCCATTTTTGGCCCCTATTTGCACACACATAGATATGTACCCTACACATGAGCACACAGGCAGGCACATTATATATGCTTACATATGTCGTCAATAATAAACTGCCTCAGGTAGCCAGATGTCATAGCACATGCCTATCATCAGTGAGCACTGGGTAGGCCAAGGGAGGATAATCCTAAACTTTTAAGGCCTGGGCTACACAGTGAGTTCTGATCATAAATAAGCAAATAGTGAGATCCTATCATAAACAAGCAAGCATAATAACTTGGGTGTGGTGGCACATTCCTGAAATCTTAGTTACTTAGGAGGCAGAGGCAGGAGAATCATGAGTTTGAGGCCAAGCTGGACAACATGAAAAGACCCTATTTCAACAGAAATACATAATAGGATTTAAAAGAAATAGCAGTGAAGGGGAAAAAAGATGATATAGTAAATGAAGCCAAGGTAAATTTAGTACCTGTTCCTCTGAGTTTCCTAATGACTAGAACAAGCCTTAGTTCAAGGTTCAGATGTGTTCATTCAATTGATTGATAGTTTATGCATGTGTCTGAGTTTCAAAACAGCATAATGTTATGTATTTGAGTACATAGCATTCTGCTGTGTGGGGCCTTAAACAAATGAACTCTTTATTATTATTATTATTGTTTTTACTTTATAAATAATAGGAGTCAAAATTTCCACTTCCTCCCCTCCTCCCACATCCCTCCCACTCCCCCATTCACCTTCCCTCCCTTCTGCTCCAGTTCTAAGAGAGGGCAGGGTATCCTGCCCTGTGGGAAGTCCAAGGCCCTCCCTGCTCCATCCAGGCTTAGGAAGGTATGCATCCAAATAGACTAGGTTCCCAAAAAGCCAGTACATGCAGTAGAAACAAATCCCAGTGCTATTATCATTGGCTTCTCAGTCTGCCCCAATTGTCAGCCACATTCAGAGGATCCAGTTTGATCCCATGTTCGTTCAGTCCCAGTTCAGCTGGCTTTGGTGAGCTCCCATTAGTTCAGGCACACTGTCTCAGTGGGTGGATCAACCCCTCATGTTCCTGACTTCCTTGGACATATTCTCCCTCCTTCTGTTCTTCAACTAGACCTTGGGAGCTCAGTCCCATACTCCCATGTGGGTCTCTGTCTCTATCTCCATCTGTCGCCAGATGAAGGTTCTATGGTAATATTCAAGATAGTCATCAGTCTGACTACTGGACAAGGCCAGTTCAGGCATCCTCTCCTCCACTGCCCAGGGTCCTAGCTGGGGACATCCCTATGGACATCTAGGACCCCCTCTAGAGTCAAGCCTCTTGCCAACCCCACAATGCCTCCCTTAATTAAGATATCTTCTTTCCTGCTCCCTATCTTCTTTCCTCCATCTCAACCATCCCACTCCCCCAAGCTCTCCCCAAACCTCCCCTTCTCCCTTCTCTCTACCCCCTCCCCTTTTTCCCTACCCCACTCCCACCCATATGCTCCCAACTTTTGCCTGGCGATCTATTCTGCTTCCAATTTTCAGGAGGATCTATATATGGGTTTTTTTTGGGTGCACCTTATTATTTAGGTTCTTTAGGATCGCGAATTATAGGCTCAATGTCCTTCGTTTATGGCTAGAATCCACTTATGAGTGAATACATACTATATTCATATTTTTGGGTCTGGGTTATCTCACTCAGGATAGTGTTTTCTACTTCCATCCACTTGCATGCAGAATTCAAGATGTCATTGTTTTTTACCGCTGAGTAGTACTCTAATGTGTAGATGTGCCACACTTTCTTTATCTATTCTTCCATTGAGGGGCATCTAGGTTGTTTCCAGGTTCTGGCTATTACAAATAATGCTGCTAGGAACATAGTTGAACAAATGCTTTTGTAGTATGATTGGGCATCTCTTGGGTATACTCCCAAGAGTGGTATTGCTGAATCCTGAGGTAGGTTGATTCCCAATTTTCTGAGAAACCTCCACACTGATTTCCAAAGTGGTTGTACAAGTTTGCATTCTCACCAGCAATGGATGAGTATTTTCCTTACTCCACATCCTCTCCAGCATAGATTATCATTGGTGTTTTTTATTTTAGCCATTCTGACAGGTGTTAGATAGTATCTCAAAGTAGTTTTGATTTGCATTTCCCTGATAGCTATGGAAGTTGAACATGTTCTTAAGTATCTTTTGACCATTTGAAAGTCTTTTGTTACTCCTTAATGTCTTCCAAATAATAGAAACAGAAGAGTCATTGCCAAACTCTTTTTATGAAGCTATAGTTACCCTGATACCAAAACCACACAAAGACTCAGCCAAGAAAGAATTACAGACCAATCTCACTCATGAACATTGATGCAAAAATTCTCAATGAATTACTGGCAAACCGAATCTAAGAACACATCAAAAAAATCATCCATTATGATCAAGTAGGCTTCATCCCAGAGATGCAGGGCTGGTTCAACATAGAAAAATCTTATCAGTGTAATCCATCATATAAATAAACTGAAAGAAAAAAACCATATGATCAATTCATTAGATGCTGAAAAAGCATTTGACAAAATTCAACACCCCTTTATGATAAAAGTCTTAGAGAGATTAGGGATATAAGGGTCATATCTAAATATAAAAGCAATATACAGCAAGCCGACAGCCATCAAAATTCTAACAAAATTCTTCACAGACCTTGAAAGAACAATAATCAACTTTATATGGAAAAACAAAAAA